TTTTTTTTTTTTTTTTTTTTTTTTCTTCTTCTTCCTTCCCATTTTAGGTGAAAGGACAGTAAAGGATTTAAAAGGAAGACCAAATGTTCTATATTATATATTTAAATCAGTGCCTGGGAGCAGCTGAATGTAGTTGCTTGTTAATCTCTTGCTTTGCATTAATTTAACACAAAATGTTTTATGCTGAGCTTGCTGTTATCGAAGACTGAAATGACAGGGGCAGGACATATGCATTTTTAAAAAAAATAAAAACATGCAGGAGTTTTCCTTCAGCATGAGGTATATGCACTTGTACTATTTTAGTACTAGAAGAGGTCATAAAGTTAGCTAAGTAGCAAGTATTGATTGGAGTGCAAAATGTAATCTCTCCTTTTGCCCTCACAGAGTTGAAAGATCTACTGACCAAGTCATCAAGCCGGTCAATGTGGAGGCGCTGTCAAAGTGGGTTGGGAAGATCCCTGCTGATGTCCTGCAAGATATGCCAGTGATTGCACCCATGTTAGCAAAGCTGGGCTATGATCCGTATGCCAATCCACCGAATTATGGGAAGCCAGATCAAAAAGTTCTGGAAAACACAAGGAGGGTAAGGTATTCTTCTGTATATAAATTTAATTGTTGACCAACTGGAAGTAGAGTGGAAGATTCTGAGATTTCAGGTCTATTTCTAATACCTTTTAATCCTTAGCAATACCTTTTGTCTGCCAGTGCAAGATCCCATAGGACCTTGAGCACTGGAGGTCCAGCTCCTGTTTTTTGCTGTTGTTGCTTCATCTTCCTTCCCTCTGACCCTTGGTCTGAGCCGTTCTCTTTGGTGTTGAACTGAACCCTCTTAAGAATTAGCCAGTGATGGGGGAGCCTGTCCAGCAAAAACACTAGCCGACTGGTCAGCAAACTTGATTCATGGGCTCAGCTTCATAACCAAATGGTTGGCAGAAGCTCTGTCACAAAATTATGCTTAAAATACATGGGAGAATTTGAGGAATAAGCAGTGGAAAATGGTTCAAGATGATCAAAATGTCAGACTTCCCAGTTCTTTGCTGTCCTCTTTAGTTTAAAAAAAAAAAAAAAAAAAAAAGTCTGGTGCTGATTAACCTAAACATGAGGACTTTAGTCTGTCTAAATTGAATGTTGCTGGAATTTGAATAGTTAGACTATACAACTGTTTATCCCTGGAGGTATCCATTGAAAAGCTTAGTACAATTGTTTGCAATAAGAATAATTAACTTCTCTTTTGAGAATATGTACTTATTAAAAGAAGGTGACTTTTACTGACACAGCAAGTCATCTCTGGAAAAAGTGAACAAAACAGTTGGAAAAATCTGTCTTCCACTAACTTTTTGACTGTATATAACTGCTTGGTATCTGCTAATTGGTAGATACAGAACTGCTTAATAATGTAAATTATTGTGTTCATTATTAAAATTTCTGAACATTTTGCATTAATTCTTAAGAGCCCTCCTTGAGAAACTCACAGTAAGCAGCTGATTAGTATATTGTAGGATGAAAGATTAACTTTCCCATGCTGAACTGATGGTTATTTAGAAAGATAACTCCCTTTTCTAGTAGGAGTAGTGGTGAGTATTTTATAGGTTTTCTAATACTGTTATATTAAGTCTTTCAAGCTGACTTTTCTGAACAATTCAATGTGATTTTTTTTCTTAAATCAACATTTAACAATATGGAGAATATTAGTATTTTATACTAATATTTTACTTAAAATTCTCTTGAGACTTGGACTGTAATTGTGATGGTGTTTATTGTGTCAGCAATATATCTTTTTCTAAAGAACAAGAAGAGGCCAGGAAAAATAACTTCTGCAGATCCTGCTTGTATGGATAAAACAAAGGAGAAGTCCTGAATTAACCTTAAAATCTCACAAAGTGAGAGAAATAAGGATGTGTAATTCCTAAACTTGTAAGAGTCCTCATGAAAATGCTGAAACAAAAAGCTTTCAAAATGACATGTACCCCAAGGAGCCATTTCAAACGATGGCTCAAGTCAGCATTTGAGTTTGCATTTAGATGGTCAAATTCTTGCCCAGTCACTTTGTTTCCTCCTCGCTGGGACTTGGCAAGTCCCTGCTCAGCACCTCCTGGCCCTCTGTCTTTCTCTTTATGGACTGTCAAAGCATTGATGGTCTGACTTCCTGGGGGTTCAAGATTTGAAGGCTTCTCAACTCCCAGACCCGTTTTCTTCATGAGTTGCTTAATTCTCAGAGTAGCCAACCCTTCAGCCTCTCTAGGAGTACCAGGTTTTGTGGCTATCGTGTATCTTGCATAGTAAGCTGGCCACTGAGCTTGGCTTAAACCAAAGAAGTTTTGCAATAAATCATATTCTGCTTGATCATCAGGCGGAACTGATAAAAAATACTGAAATTTGAAAAATGTTTCACTTTGCTTCCTATCTTTCCAACCTTTTCTTTTCCCTCAGGGAGCTCTGATGCATTGGCAGCCTTGCCCATCACGGATAGCGTGCGCTCCTCCATGCATTTCTTCCTTCTCATAAGCATATGCTAATTTATTTCTTGCTACTGTAGCGTAGAGGACATTTAAGTACTTGATCTTCAGTTTCCAGCCTCTGGGAACTTTGAGCTAGACAAAATTTTTAAATATGTTGTTGCATACCCTTTCTGACTGGTGGATTTATAAACTTTCTGCATTGCACTTGTTTTTGCTTTCTCTTATTTATTCCCCTGGGATTGTTTCTGTTTTGTACAGATTTTTGTACTGGGTATACTGTAGGAGTCAACATTGATCAAATAAATCTGAAGTTATTCAGCGCATCATTAAGCGTGGACACACATCTTGCATGTAGCTGGTTATTGCTTCACTTCATGCATTGAAAGTTTTGTTGTTATTTGTGGTCTCTGCAAACTTTAAGCTCTCTTTTTAATCATTGCAAAGGGATTAAGTTTAGACTTCTGAACTGTTTTATATTAATATTGTAACCCTTTAGAGTGACTAACTCAAAATAATTATTTGATGTTTGCTTAACTGCTGGCGTGGTAGTTCTGGTGCCAGTTTAAGATGGCAAGAGCTTCATGTTGGATGGCAGAAGCTGGGCTAGGCTGGCAACCAAAGCAGAGGTGGGGGCAGCAGGACTGTGTTTTTGGGGGTAGGTGGGGTGTTTTAGTTCTTGGGGAGTGGTGAGGAGCATTATGTAATGAGGAGTGTTGTGTAATGCTGTATAAATTGATTGTGGAAGTCATGACAACAGGGTGGAAGCTCCACTGAAATTTCTGGCTGGAGACATTCTGACTCTGCTTAAAAATGGAACAATAACAAGATGACCTAGTTCATAGCTATCAGATGCATTAAAAAAAAACAAATAAGATTTATTTCTCATGATTAGAGTTCTCATTTTGTATGATTGATAGTACTTCTCAATGGTACATGCAAAATCATAAGAGTAGATGGAATGAAGATTTGAAAAGTGATCAGTGTGCAAACAAGCTCATAGCTAGAAAACATCTTTTGATTGCAGAAAGATCAGTATTTCTATAAAAGTTCAAGACTAGAATTTTTTTATTCTCCCTATAAGGAGACAGTTTAAAACAGATTCCAAACAGTGTTTGAAACAGGGAGAGGTCTATGTTCTGGTATGCTGTGCTTAAATACGATAAATAGTATCGTGGCATTTGTACTGGCTATATTAAGCAAAATCTGTTGCTATTTGGAAAACAACAAATTAGACCAATGTTCAGCAGCACAACTCCTGGTTGAGGACTTGAAAGTTGCTGCTGTTACAGTTTGCATTAGGAAATAAGGGTGCCTGAAACATAGCAGGGCTAGACCTGGAGGAAAAATGAAAAGGAACAGCTAACATCAGTGCAAAACACTGCCTTCCTTTTTCCCCACCACTGAGTTGCATATGTACTGCTTTATATATTTCTTTTGCTTCAGTCTCGGAAACAAAATGATGCCTCACATCATCTAAGGTATGATCACTGAAGAAGGATTTCTACAGAAGTGCAGGTAATCAAGGAACATCAAGATCCCTGCAGCACTTGGATTTTCACTGTAATGTTACCCCTCTCTGGCACTGAAACAGGTTGCTTTTTCATGCCTCTGAAACAGAGAACAGAGATAAGATGCAACTGGTGTTTGCTGTTTTTTGTCATGTTGGTACTGGCTTTGTTTTTTCAAGTAACAGAGCCTGAAACTTATTTCATCTCTCCTTGCATTGGCCTCCCAGTGCTATGTGGCATTGTGGATTAAGTCATCTCTAATTTTTTCCCCTAAAGCTGTAGCAAATTCTACATTCTGAACATAAAGGAATGGAACTTCCTGTAACCAAAAATGAATCATCATCTGCAAATGAAGCAGAAATACAAATAATTAAGCTCCGAAATGGCAGCTCAATGTCTTTATGACAAAATACATAAATAACAGCTTTGAATTTGAAAACCGTCTGATATGCCTTCATGTTGTGTAAAAGTGTACGTCAGCAGTTTAGTAGAATGTACCAAAAGCTGCAGACTATTCGTAACTGTAAAACTCTGCCTTATGCCCAGTAGAAACTGGCTTATTCTTATATTATGATTGGCCTTGTAGCTTCCTTTTCACATCTGTAACGTATTGCATCAGATTTTCTTTGGCACACGCTTCCCACTGCGTGGATTTGTAAGCTAGGAATACATATTCCAGGCAGTTCTTCTGGATTCTTCATGAAGTTGCAGTCCTTGCCCTGCAGAGAGCAAGAGGCAGAAGTGTACAGCACAGAACACAAAAAGCTTGTGTTTTCATCATGACTGTTTAAACATGTGTGGGTTCCTCTCATCACTTTTGAAAGCTGCATTTACCTCTGTCAAACATTATGTTGATACTTCCTCCAGTAACAGCTAGAGGGAAAAAAAAGAGATCTACGAACTCCTCTGTTTCATACTGTGTATTAGATATTGAGGAAATGTTGTCTGCTGATAAGAGATGAGACTTTCAAGATAATCATGGTTTCAGGGCTTGGTGTGTGTTTGAGGTTTCAAATGGAGAAATGATTTGAGATAAAGGGTGTGAAACATGCCTATACTGTTGCATGGGAGTAATTGTGTTGTCAAAGACGTGTAATTGTAGGGCTGTGCTGTAATGATAGACTGCTCAAATAGCCAAAAAAAAAGGCTGCTCTGGTTAAGTGTAACAAGCTAAGCATAAAGGCGTGGGTGTTTTCATAGCAATTTAAAGTAATAATTTAAAAAGAAAAAAGATTTTTTTAAAGTCTCTCTTGTGACCAGCAAGAAGATCCTTTCTCAGTGTTGTTTTTTTCAGGTAGAGTTTTTTTCTTTGTATATCAGCTATGCCTGCATATGATTGGTAATGGAATAATGAGTTATTAACAAACGTTATGCAAAACTGTGTATAGTTGCAAGATGTATTTTTGGCAGACGTTCAGTGGCCTGTGGCAAAAAAAAAAAAAAATGCTTCCTGCAGTGTTCCTACAGGATAAGCGTTTGTATCGCAGATGTCTCTGTTCCTGGTGATTCCAGAAAGGAAATAGAGTTGTCTAAGCCTTGCAAAGCCAGAAGGAACAAGATTAGGACACCTCTTTGTAACCTGCCATGAAGGACTATCTCCAGGAAGGAGTTTGTTTGCTAGTATTTCTTTTTTTGGGGGTGGACAAGTAAACGTCAACAGCTTTGTACTCTGTAGTTTGGTTTTGAAAATCCACCGAGCACAAGGATGTTCATTTGCAGGCCAGCTACTAAACAAAAAGACCCATTATCTCTCTGTACTGGATCTGACCAGATATATCATGGCTTTTTGTGGGTTTTTTTTCTTCTTTTAATCAAGCTTGAAAGTGAGTGAAAAAGAATGCTTTAATCTTCCGTAAAGATGAATTAAGTGTAGCATCTGTAATAAGAGCAGACAATTATACTTTCCTTTTGTATTTTAAGGGTTTTTCCAGACAATTGGATATGATTTTTTTATTATTATTCCTTTCGAGAGAAAATATACATTACTTCAATAACTTTTTATCAGTTTGAGTAGCTCCAATGCTGAATAACAAAATGAAACAAATTATTAAAGCTTTTTCCTCCCCTTTGGAAATCCATTTGGGCTTGTGAAATAGTTCTCCTAGAGAGTCTGAACGCCATTCGTGCTCTGCTTCCCTGAATTCGTGCTTAGACTGGAAATCATTCCAGCATCCTCCATCTGCTTCTCTGCTGCCACTCTCCAAATAATACGTTTTAGTCTTAAAAAAAATGGGTCAGAGGCAAATTTTGAGTCTGAAACCTCTTAATTTCTTTGGCTGCGGAGGGAGGCATTGTTTTCTTGAATTTCTGGATTGTAGCAGTTCCCTGGGCTTTGACTCAAGAGAGACCAGTTTCTGGGACTACTCTGAACCGGTTTGTTTGCAGCCTCAGTCTCGGCACAACCATTCTTCTAGATAATGTGAGTTTTCAACCAGGATTATGCGCAGTTGGTCTTTCAGCCTAAATTAAATGCACCCTCTCTGGCTGGTCATTGATTAAATTGTGCCTTTGGAAACTGCAGCATGGCTTAATTTAAAATATTTATGTATAAGCTCCATATAAGCTTATTTTGTTGCATTAATTCTGTAAGTTAAGAATTTAATCAGAAAGGTGCAGAAAGAGTAAACAACTTGAATAGATTACTAAATTACTCGAGCTCTAGTTGAGCTGTCTAAACCATGTTAATTTACGCTCAGGTGTCAGTTATTAAAGAGGGTAGAACTTAACTTTTGCATCCACAGGTTTAAAGATTAAGTAGTGTAATGAAAGAGCTCTCTGCGACATCATCAGATGTAGAGAAGGAGACAGGCTGTGATGTGAACTATTGAATTGTGGCTATATAATGCACATATGCTTTTCATCACCGTGCAAAGCCAAATTACTACTGTGTAATTTTTCTTCTCTGAAGTGGATGGTTCCACTCCCCCCCAAGAAAAAGAAAATAGTTGCAGTATTTTCTGGCTGATGTTTTAAAATACAATAAGGATCTGTGGCTTAGAAGATACCCTATAGCAGAAACTGCAGGATTTGTTCATGATGCAAATAACCAGGTGCTTTTAGAAGGTGAACGGTGCCCATACTGCTTTCTTTGAAGGAAAATATGTTATTGCAGGTCATGTGTGCATTTTGGGACTATTTCCTCGGCCTAGAAAGTCTTCTGAAATACATGTCCCTTCCAATATCTCGTCTTGTAAAAGTTATTGGGCTTTTTTTTTTTCCTCCCGTGACTCTCTTGCTTAGGTTGTTCAGTAGCATTCATATGGAGCAGCATTGTGGATATGTAACTCGCATTCCTGCTCTCTAGAAACACAGCCTGCATTTTAATGGTTAGCTGAAAAGCTAAATACGAAATACTCTCCTTCGTTTATAAATATTTATAGTACATCTAGGATCAAATATGCCACCCACTGAATTTTTGACCAGTGTGGCTTTCATTAAGGTTACCGTGGGACTGGCAGTACCCCCTTACTGAATATAAATGAGCTGTGCCTATCAATTTGAGTCACTTGTTCTCTTTTAATAACATGGAATATCAAAAAATAGTTTTGCAATGTGTATCTAATAGTTCCTGCTCTCGTGTTGCGTCTCGGCAAAGCCCTGTCATTTGGATGTGTTTTGCATGGTGATAAAAAGTAAGGAGAGCTGCCAGCGACCTAGGCCACTCGGCCTGAGTCACGCGGCTTAATGCTGCAGGCCTGGTTCAGGGTGAGGGGCTCACAGGCAGGAAACGCTGCACTGACTCAGCTGCACTATAGGGACAAAAAACTACTTTATATTCCACTGTTTTATTTATAGGAAAGAGGAGAAAATGTACATTGTTAATAAGTATCCCTTGACTTCATCCTTTTTTGACATAATTTGCAAACCGGAGGCTGTAACGTTGAGGCATTAGAGCAGAACTATTTCCATTTTATGTCCTAATTGAGTATTTATAACAGGGTTTGTGTTCTTTGATGCTATATGGTTACAGCTATACGAGACCTATGAGGTTAGGGTGATTGGTGTTTGTTTTAATGCAAAGGAGAGTAGAACTCATTCTAGTCTCTTTTGCCAAAAAAAGTCAATAACGCTGAATATATATATATATATATATAAATATATATAGTTATTGGAATGCATTCCAGTTTCATGTCAGAAGCAAGCAGCTTTCAAGAGGTATCCTCTAGAGAGAGGACACTCCACTGCCAGCTGATTTCCTAATTGGTCAGAGAGTGGAAACACTTGCTTGGTGTGGCTGCTAGCATGTCTGAGAATATTTATTGCTTGTTTTTTCTCCAAACAAGGCTTGTTTTGAAAGTAATGTTATACTCTGAAAGATTGGAAGGCACAATAACGACAACCTTTCCTGGTGTGAGGTTGGTCATGAGACTTCAGCTGCGGTAGAAATTCAAATCATTAGAGTTACTGGCTGTAACTTTAGACCAGGTAGAAAAGGATTGTACCTGTTTTGCCCCCCCCCCCCCCCAAAAAAAAAAAAAGGAAAGATTACTTTAGGGTTTTGTTTGTTTGCTTTTCTACTATCAAAGTCTGTAGGAATATGGAAATATGATGCTGCAACTCGTCTGTACTAATAGATGAAGCTATTAATCCTATTAATTCATGTGCCTGCTGGTGTAGGAAACTAGTATCCCATTGTGGACAGCAAGCAAATTAATCACTGAGGTTATAAAAATTCCTACAGAATTCTTGACTGAATTTGAACCTAAGTTACTAGCTTTTCCCCAACTTTTTGTAGTACTGTCATCTGCATAAACTATTATCAAAGCTAATGAAACTTTCCTTTGACAACATAGTAAGGTGGGATCAATTATCAAAGTATGATACTTCTGTTTGCATAAATGATATATTTTGTGTATGGCAAATAATACGAAGCATTAGAAAATGTTGTATTGTGTGGCGTGGAGTAAGTCTGTTAACGTTAAGACATAAATGTTTGAGACCTGCAAGTTGTTTGATGCTGCCAACTGCAAGTTGTTGGCTGATATATTAACTCTGAAACAGTCCATGAGATCGTGATGGCTTTTTGGGGTAAACTTCAAATAAAGACTCTCTTAATTATAAACTATAATAGAGCCCTAAAAACAATTACCGAAACTATTAAACAAATCTGTTGCTTCATATTTTACATATAACTTCAGAAAGTGTGTATTATTATGGCTTAGTCCAGTGCATTTAATCACGCTGTAAAACATCATCTTAAAAAAGTATAATCAATGAATTATACAGGACTTAATTCATGAATGATTCATAATTCAAGCAAGCTTGAAATGTAATACAAGTTATGTAGTAATTTTTTTTTCCTGACCTTGTTTGCATTAAAATGCTATTAAATACATTTCCCAAACATTGTCATCTGTCTTGAGTAAAGAGCAAGCCTGGGAATGAGTATAAAGCTGGAGAACTACTTTAGACTACCAGACCCTATTATGAAAACTTTGCTTTTACAAATGGGTTGTGCTCAATTTAGAAAGCTCTGAGGTAGATCTGATTTAGTATTACTGGATGCTGATCACCCAGACTAATCCATTTTTTGCTTGACAGGCTATTTAGCTTTGCACACACTAATGAATGCTTGTTTTGAAGAGTAAATTGTTTTTTTTTGGTTGTTTGCTTTCCAGGTCTATAAAGGCGAATTCCAGCTTCCTGACTTTCTTAAAGAAGTGCCACAGGTACCGTATTGGATTAATTTCCTTTTTGTAGATGTAGCAACAATTTAATGTCAAACTAGTCTTTATAAACCACTTCATAAACTTGACTGTAAGAGGAAAAAGCAGCCAGCAGTTTGCTATGAAATTGAATCTCCGCCGCTGCTCTTACACTCAAGCCTCCTTTGAATTTATGTGCAACTCCAGGGGCATCTTACTATGACTAAACTCAAACTCATTGAAGGTTATGTCAAACTATACGGTGAATCTTAAGGAAAGACTGGACTGACTTTGTATTTTGCCCCATAGAACAAATGCAAATGTTGTTTGTAGAGAAGCTTTATCTTTTTTTATTATTATTTTTATTTGTTTATTTTTTCCCTTGTAGTGAAATGTTGAAAGCAGGTATGCTAAAGGTGGCATAAATGTTCAGACTTCAGTTGATGATAACAAGAGTCTTTGGAAATAAATACTACAGTATCTGAGAAAAGAAAGCAGCTCAGCCATGGGTAGTAGTCATGCGTTGATCTAATATTCAGATAAGCTATTAAACTTCTGATTATAATGAGAATCTGTAACTTGTTCCCTTTGAATGCTGTTAAGTTTCACTGGCTACCTGAGGGTCCTAACCTTGCACTGGGGTAGAAAGAGCTAAATTCTGGGCTTGGAACTGTTAAATAGCAGCATTTCTTGGCCCCTAAGCTTTGTGGATTATAGGAGATGTGCTTGAAGCCCTAGGTCGTCTTCTCATGTCGACACCGTGGACAGGGTTTGAGCCATAACCACTTCCTAATTCATGTATATAGTAGTTCACTCTGGATGATGAGATCTTAAACTGCATGAACAGCTTTCTGTGCCGCTCAAGGACATAATACAGGAGTTGGGAGGAACTTCTTCCATGGAACTTCCTCAAGGGATTCTTTTGTGTATGATTTTTTTTTTCTTAAAAGTAAAAAAAAGAAGTGCAGTTAATTCCCCATATTGACTTTGCAGATTTATACTTAAGGCAAATGTATAGTCTAGCTGTAACATATCATCTTGAGGAATTTACTTTATTGGTTAAAAATGTTTCAGATGAGTAAGTGGAACAATTAGAAATCGCCTTTGTATTTTCTCAGGGAAGAGTTACTCAACTAGGCTCATAGAAATACAGATTTTGTAGGCTGTATAACTGCTGACCATGTAAATGTGTGAAGTGCCTTCTGCATTATGCTGTGATGGAAGAGGCAGGGAGTGGCTCATTACTGCTATTGTCTCTGGGTGTGTTCAAGTAGAGCTAAGTCAAAATGTAAAGCTAAGTAACAGAAAAAAAAGGGGGAAAAAATCCAGCTTGTCCTATGTATAGGACACTGTAGACTTGGGAGGAAAAGCATTTGGGGACCATCTGCCTCCAGGATTTTGTGTCTCTTCAATAGAAGAGCAAGGAGCAGCTTCCTCCCTATTAGCCTTAAAGGAAGCTATGGGTGACCAAACTTTTAGTTAACAGTGTTAGATTTTGTTGTTGCTGCTGTATTTTTGTATTTTGGGAAAAACATGAACTGTAGAACTCACGTCTGCCACCTACAAAGCAGTAGGAAGCTCTTTCCAAGGGCAGCTACCACCTTTATTATTATTATTTATTATTATTATTTTGTTCTGGTTTAGTAGCTCAATCTTTTGATCTTTTGGGTGCAGGGGACATGTCTCTACTGGCCAGGCCTTGTTTTGACGTGTTGTGGCGGCCTTTTTGCAGGGTAGTGCCCTTCAAGAGGGGCTACTTTAGTGTAATAGTTTGAAAACAAATGAATTAATGGCAGGCAAATACACTGATGTGGTAACTAATAACGTAACTGTGGCTAAACATACCAGTACTTCAAGCAAAAGAGATCATTTGCTTGCATCTAGGTTTTTGAAAAAACTTGGCCACTTCTAGCCATTTTAGAGTAATTTGTGGTATTTATATTACTTACATTTTTACTTTATCTGCCATCATTATTCCTAATTGCACAGTTTCTGAATATAAATGCTAGTATAAAGACTTAAAGCACTTGTAGTGTCTTCTCTTAAAGAGGGAAGGAAAAAGAAAACAAAGGAAAAAAAGCAACAGGCAGAGAATTCTTTATCTTGCATCTCCAGTGTGAAGGAAAGAGTACTTCAGTATGACTTCTGTTAGAGGTAGAGATTCAAGAATACACAGCAGTATCCACCATGTGCAAACAAGTGTTTTTGACTTACTCCATCTGTTCTAAATGAAAATTAGTTATTAAAAAGGAAAACCGGTTTCTTGTGTTCCAGCCAAAGAAGACAGTAGAAAGGAAGTCTCGTGGCAAGATAAAATGAACATGGATCAGTAAAGTAGAATAGCTGCAGTGTCTGTCTCCTGTTTTCAGAGCATAGCTTTTTGCTGTGGACACCAAATCTTTTCTGATAATTCTGTGTGATCTCTACTGCGGGCTTTGCTCTTTTACTGGATGTTTTGCCTGCTCTCACCCTGCCAACAGTTAGTGCTCATGCTTTGCTGCAAGTTGTGCTCTGCTAATAGAAAACCATTAAGAATCTGACACCACGCAGCTAAATGCGCTGTTGCTCACAGTATTGTTCACTCTGGAGTGCTGGCCAAAATGCCTCTGCAGCTTAAAGGCAAGAAAACTATTTAAGTGTGTGCTGCTTTAAAGTTACTGTCAGCCAATTGTTTTGAGAAAGTGCACTGTACAAATGCATTTTTTGTGGATATTTCAAGATAATCTACAGCATAACAGATACACTTGCAGGCACACATAGGTTGCGAATTTAGGTTGTGTTGGAACAGAGCGCCAGGTATTGCTGATGAGGACTTGTGAAACGTGCAGGGAGATAAGCTGCCCTGAACTAGCTCTTTGTGAATAGTGTTCTAGTAACATGAATGATTCTTGTTCTGCATGAAATAGCTGTTAGATGAATTATAATGTTTGTATTTTGTGATTACCTTGGAATAATGTCAAAGGAATTTGGTCCTCTACTTCTTGCAATCCATGTGATAGATCTCAAGACTCTTCTGAGTGTCAGGGGAGCAGGATTTATACAGTATTTATACTATAATTGTATTAAGCCGACTCTAAGATAAACTCTTAGGTTTATCTAAGTAAGATCTTCTGAAAAACAAAAGATTTGTGAAATAGTAACTGAATATTTCTGACACCATAAATACTGAAGCAGGAATTGAAATTACTTCTGTTAATCTGTAAAGTCAAAGTAGAATAGTTTAATTAAAAACAAAACCAAACAAATAAATATTTGAGTGCAAATGTTGGTGCTGATAATACCATCTTTTCCTTTAATGTAAAATAGCTAATTTTGGTTTAATTATTTGTTTAACAGACTGAACCCGTGGAATAGAAGATACAGTGGATATTTCTTGCACAGGAGGTAATAAAGAATATCCAGTTCTGCTTAATAACTCTTTGTTAATAATTACTTTTCATTTGAAAGCAGTATATAACACTATTTCACTGCTTAGCCAGGCTTTCTTTAGGAGTTTATTGATGATTTCTTTTGATGTCTGTGTTTTTTGGTGTTATAGCATACCTGCACAGTAGGTTCAGCTCCTTATTTTAACAAGATATTAAAAAGCATTATTTTCTTTGAGATATGAAGAGATTTCCAAAGACTATTTTTAAATATCAATTCAGAAATCAGTAGGGAAACCAGTCATTTAAATGCAGCCTCTTTTTACAAGTATTATCAGTATTAATGGAAATACATCTAAACTCTATTTCTGAGAATGTCTAGTGAGTCCTGGGAAATGGACCAGTGTTCCTTAAAGGAAAGTTTTTGCTTTCTTTTTGATGTTTCAGTTAGTCTTGAGAATGACTCTGCACCTTCTGAGATTACAGTTGTTGCTCGTAATCATGCATTGCAATTTCCAATTCTTTAATGTTACGAAGGCCACAGGTGTAACTATTTTTTTTTCTCTTTCTCTAGAATGACTGCTGCCTTTTCCATAGAAATGATGCTATTAAGAACTGTCCCACCGGGATCAGTGAGGTGTAACTGCTCTTGACCTGCCTTTTTTTCCTGTATTTCTCACCCGAGTTTCTTTCATACTTTGTCTTTTTGTTCAAGATTTTGTTGTTGTGAAAGCATGTAAACCTGTTTAAAAGGCGAGGGAAAAACTACATTGATGTTAATGCAGTACTGTATTAATTTACACAACTATTTTAAGGTTTTAAAGAATCCAAAGCAAAAGCTGTCTCAAACTGCTATTGTCTAAATTCCAAACCTCAGTCTTTAGTGGCTTTTTTTCTTTTTTTTTTTTTCTTTTTCTCCTTTCTGTGACAGTTGTTTTAAATGTATGAACCTTTCAAAGAGTGGTCTGTGCTCGTCCTAAAGGATTTCTGGTGGAACAGTTGTCTGTTTTATTGACATGTGGAAACTGTTAAATATCTTTTATTTAAAAAGAGATGTTGATAAATTACATGTATAATTACAATTTAATGATCTTTTGTATTTTATTTTTCAAAATAAATGCTTTAAATGTGCAATTTTTTTCCCTTTCTTGGACTGTTGCATTTGCCTTTGAGATTTAAATTAATAATAATAATAGTAATATGGCATTGCTCAGATGAAAGATAAAATCTAATGCCCTGGGTCTGGATCTCATTTTAAGCTCTGCTTGATTTTTTTAAGTAGCAGGTGTAGGCGCAGAAAGGATTTAAATAGAGGGGAGTAGAAACAGTAACGTGAGAACATGAGTAGTTCTTTTTTTTTTTTCTTTTCCTCTCCGTTTTTTTCCCCAAAACTGTGTCGAGACAGGTGAAGCGTGCGGACACGGGCAGAATTAATGCGCCTTTCCGGCGCCTTCAGCACCGGCGCCTCCGTGCGCGGAACGCTGGCGCCCTCGTGAGCCGCGAGCGGCCGCCGGCGCCGCCGCCCGCCCCGCGCCTCCGTGGGGTAATGGCCGCGGGGCGGCGGGAAGCGCCTCCGCCCGGGACGGACCCGCGTGTGCCCCGCGTGACGCGGCGGCCGCGCTGCCTCCTCAGCAGGTGCCGCCCGCGGCGCGCAGCAGGTGAGGGCGGCGCGGGGAGAGCGCGGGCGCCGCCAGGGGGCGCGAGCGCGGGGCGGCGGCCGCCGCGGACCGTTAACCGCCACCTCTGGGCGCCGCCATGTCCTGCCGCCGCCCTGCGCAGGTTCCCCGGGCTCCGGGGCCGCACTGGCCTCACCGCCCTCGGGGCGCCACGCGAACGGCTGCCGTTGGAATGCTGCGGAAAAGGGAATTTCCACTGGCCATCCGGCACCTGAGCAGGAAGCCGGGGCGGTGCTCAGCCAGGGCAAAGCCTTTGTGGCCATGTAAAGGTGGTAAATGCACATCAGTGCTTTGAATTCTGCATAAAAACACCCTTGTTGCCATTGGGAAATACAGGCTGTGGCAGCCTTTGCCTCATGGTTACTCCCTGTGCTCCCGTTAGATCTCTCCATTGTCTTATTTTTCACTTAGATTCACCATTGGTGATGGTCATTTCTCCCCACACAGCTTATCTTTGTTTTTAAGCTGCTCTCCTCGTCTAAGGGTAGCCCCAGGTGAACATCCATGCTGTCCTTTGCCAGCGGTGAAGTGTGTCCAGAGTTGGACTTTCCCAAGCAAGGCCATTTGTAGCAGAGTTTGCCACAGCTCAGGACTCACTGCTCTGTTCCAGAAGGTTTCGCTGCTCTCCTTATGCAGCTTCTTTTGATTTGCTGTAACTAGGTTTGCTGCCTTTTTCTGCTTTGTTCTCACAAACCTTTGATCATCTGAGTCCCTCAAAAAAATCTTACAGAAAGACGGCTAAGTCGTGTCTCACTCTGTCCTCACAGACCCAGTTTCCCATGAAGGGAGAAGCTTGCTGACAATCTGCTCTTTATCTACTGAAAACAAACACGCGGGGGGGGGGGGGGGAACTTGCCTTTGAAGAGCAGCCGGACTGGGTTAGCACATCTACAACAGATTCACAGATCAGCATTTATTGATGGTTAGCCCTTTGATTGTGTGATTTTAGTATTGCCTTTTTTTTGAACATGTAACTTTATAACCTTGGAAGGTATTTAAGACAGAATTGCTTATGGGGGGGGGGGAAGGATAGGGGAGCAACAGTTCCTTTAAAAGCTGCTATTTTTTCCCTCAATTTCTGCCTCAGTAAACCTAGTGCAGGCCTAGGGAATGAAGAACAACTTGTAAGTCTGGTTCACATGGCAAGCTTTCCTTGAGGATTGTGTGTGCGTGCAGGAGTGCGAAAGGGACATTAGATAAATTATCAGTAAGCAAATCGCAGGGAAGGAATCCCTACCATTTAGATGATGAGTAGGTTGAAAACTGGGAGGAGGTGTGCGAGTAGACACAGCTGCTGCTGAGCTGTGGGTCAATTAGATACTTGGTTTAGAAGTCAGCTTCTTCATCAGTGTTTTCTCATTAATTTTGTTTTGACCTGTCTCTGGACATGAACTGGATGCATTTACTTAGTTTGAATAAATGAAACAAGACATAGAACTTTAACAGGACATTTAACAAGAGAAGTAATTTTGTGGCTAGTTAATAAATGCACGTTCTTTAAGTGGATTTTTCTGATGATTTTTTAAAGGGGATGCATATTCTTCATGACATGCCCAGAATCAAAATGCACAAAATCATAGAGCAAAAACCTGGACAATGATTAGCTATCTCTTTCTTTTAGGAAGACCCTTTGATACAGTCACCAAACTACTGTGTCGCTAGTCCGTGTTTGTGGATGAACAGGAAGTGAAGCAGCCTTGCAGAGCGACATCGGTCACCTTTTAATGAACAGCAAAAAACAGGTTAAACAACCTTATTAATAGTCAAGTCATAAATTGTCAAGTCATTGCTCATTATAATGTCAGTTTATTCTTAATCTAACCTATAGTGACAGATAGACTGGCTGAGGATTGACTGTTAAAGAACTGTAGCTGGGGTAGCTATGCATTTTTTTTTTTTTCTGTGCAGGAATGAGAATTGTGCAATTAGCAGTAACTGCACAATATAATATGTAGAGTTAGATGCATATATATCAGGTATATGTGTGCAAGGCACCGTTACGATGTGATGCAGTGGGCAAGAAACCTTCCACTGGTGTTTTCCTCGTCTGATTGCAGCACTAGATCCCCGCATTTTGCAGGAAATGCTGGAGCTAGAGAGAGCACCACTGAGCTGCCCGAAGCTCCGTTGCCGTTCGCAGCCAGCTCTCATCTGTGTTTGCAGTTGGAGGTGATTAAAAGGCTCCGGAGCTTTACTGCAAGCGGCAGCCGGGGCTTTGCCAGCACGCACGCCAATGGGAGGGCGCATTTCAGGGCACGCTTGTGCAGGCGGCCTATGGAGCCGAAGGGGTGGACCAGCGGCCCTCCGAATTCCTGCAGCAAATGGCATTTTGCTGCAAAAGGAGCCAATCAAGCACTGCAGCGCGCAGCCAATGCGCGCAGGCCTCTCATCCAGCCGCTGGCGGGGGCTCTGTCACCGCAGGGCCTTGGCAAGCGCTGCAAGCCGCATTCCTCCTCACAGAGTCCCCTTTGAGGCTGCCCGTCAGCACGGTGCTCATCCTTGCTGTGACTCACTCCCCAGCCCAGCGATGCCATTGTAATTTCTGCGTGCAGAGCAGGGTTGCTGCATGCCTCCGCGTGCCACGTGATCCTCCGCAGCTGGTGAGGAGAGCACCTAAGTAATTTAGGTCTTGTTTCCTATTTAGCCTTGCCACGGCTGCCTATCCAGCAGACCTGCTTACGAGAGCCAGAGGGATGGTGGTAGTTACAGGGCAGAACAAAGTGAGTGGAAACCCGGATGATGCCATGTCGAGCTCGGATGCGGAGGATGATTTCCAAGAGCCGGCCACTCCTACGGCCACCCAGGCAGGACAGTCACTACCTCTGCTGCCTCAGCAGGTAAGAGCTCTGCGCTGCTGTTCATCTGATAAACTGGAGTTATTGCACCACATATTGCTCAGGTGCCAAAGAATCAAAAGAATTTCTTTGGTGGGGTATTCATGGATATCCAGTTCAGTTTCCATTACTCCCTAAATTGGCTTAGTTCCTTGTATTCTTCATATTCCTTCCTTATTATTATTGACATTCCTTCAGTCCTAAGTTCCGTATATTTTACCTCAGTAGCTTGAGCCTGACAAATACAAATTGTGCGTATTCTGGTACTGAAACATCTTCAGCTGTGGTATTAAGATTTTAGGCCTGCTATAAATCTAATGTAAATGCACAATTGCTGATTTTCAGCCTGTACCTTAATTCATAAAGGGACCAGTAAAGCAGCATCTGAGTACAAGTCCCAGATTTGGCCTGAGATTTCCTACTCCTTTTTGTGTTGTGGGGAGAGAGAATTTAAAAAAAAAAAAAAAAAAAAAAAAAAAAAAAAAAAAAAAAAAAAAAAAAAAAAGAAAGAAACAGAAGGCTTTTGGGCTTCTAATGAATATCTGGTATTAAAGCTGTGGAGATGACTGCTGTTTGAGATTTCCAACTAAAATGAAAACATTCACTGATCCTACCCGGAAGCCAGTCAGAAGATACAAGGTGTTAATCCCTTGAATCTCACTATTTTGTGGCAGCAGGCCAGGAAAGGGACATTTGTTGGACCAAGTTATGTCACAATCGCAAAGATTATTAAGAAGTGTCAAGGTGAACATATATAAAATAAACTCTAAAATGTTGTGCTGCTTCTGAAATTGTTGCTGCCCCCACTATTGTTGCATCATTCGTATTTGGAGCTTCTCTGCCTTCTCAAGTCCTCCTGTCACAATTTCAGTCATGCTCTTATTGTTATTTTTGGAGAAGGAAAAACAGAACATTGATGGACTCTTCTCTTTGGCACTGCCATTCCTCTGACTCCCTTCCTGGTGTTAGCAGAAGGACTGCTGAGATTGCCTTCCATGCCTGCTCTGTTTCACATTGTACCCAATGTGAATTCCCTCTTAGTCCTTCCAGCCTTTCTGAATTGCCTTCAAAATTGTCTCAAGCAAAACCATACACACTGTGCTCACTCCTTTCTGTCAAATGCCATCTTCTGGTTTCAAACTAATAAATGCAAACATCATGATACAGGAAGACTCTTGGTTAATGCCTGGTTTTACACAGCAGCCCTATAGATGTTTGAATATCTTAACTTTCAGAAGATCTGCTGCCTGAATGTTCCTCTTCTTTTAACGGAGGCTTCTAAACATGCCTTTTGCCAAATTTCATTTGTAATTTTACCCTATAATGGAAGTTCTTCTGGAAGTTCTAATAATTTTGCCCTATATTTGTT